TGATTCTAAGAAACACCTAGGATTGGCAGCCACTGAGATAAAGAGCAGTATTGCCAGGTTCTAGGCTCCCATCCCACATCATTACCTTCCACTGGGGACCCATTTACATAAATTATTTCATCAAAGACCATTCAGAACTGTTTTTTAAATAAAAAATTTTGCTCTCTAAAAATCTGAAATCATTTCCAAAAGATTAAGATTTTGTTTCAATAAAATATGTAAAAGATGTATTAATCACAAAAATTAAAATTTTTTCATGCTTCTTTTTATGGGGACAATGAATAGAAGCCAAGGTAAGATTTTTATCCACTTATGAATGTGAAGGCTAGCATTAGGATCAGTAAAATAGATTTTAAGCATGAAATTATGGAATGTTCAGTAGATAACTGGCCTCTAATAATAAACTGCTTTTTAATTTCTTAGCATGTTTCCAGTTTAGTTTTATGGACCCAAATATCATGGAGGGGGCAACCAACTGTAGAAATTGTTGTGGGTGGGGCTCACTTTATACTTTGAATGAGTTAACAGTTCTAAATTTCAAAGTCTAGAGTATAATCAGGTATGTAGTAAGCCACAGATTTAAATAACATCTTCTATTTAAGCACAGTGGATAGTGTATCTGTACTTGGCAATGTGCCAGGTACTATAAGGTGTTTAGAAGGCATTGACGTTTAGATCCGATCGATGCAAATTCAGGTTTACATGATGCACACCTGCTTCTGTCTGAGGGCTCAAAAAGGCCACCTAGGACAACTTCTCATTTGTATAAAGGAGAGGGTTAGTTCTGTCCTCCTAACAGAGCAGGCTAGAGATAGGGTCAATAAACTCTTATAATCATCCAACTAGTGACTCTGTAAGAGGTTTTTTTTTTAATTGATTTTGTGGGATATATTTACATATAATAAAAGACACCCATTTTTAGCGTGCAGTTTGAAGAGCTGTGAAAAATGTATACACCCAAGTAACCACTGCCACGATCAACATATAGAACACTTACACCACTGCAAAAAATCCCCTCATACTTCTTTATAGTCAGTCCCCAACCCCAGCCCTGTCGACCACCAATGGGCTTTCTGTTACTACAGCTTAAATTCTGTCCATTCTAGAATTTCATATAAATAGAATTATACAGCATGTAGTCTTGTCTTCCTTTTGTTTTTAATACAACATAAGGCTTTTGAGTAATCCACGGGTTGCTGCATGCACTGGTAATTCATTCCTTAGGGAACATTTCGCTGCACAGACAGGATATAATTCATTTATTCATTCACATGTTGATGGACATCTGAGTTCTGATTACTGGTTATTATAAATAAGACTTATCAACCTCTGTGTACATGTCTTTATGTGGACATGTTTTTATTTCTCTTGGGTAAATACCTAGGAATAGAGTCTCTGAGTCAGAAGTACATGTTTTGAATTTACAAAGAACTGCCAAACGGTTGACCAAAGCAGTTATATCATTTTTACATTGCCACCAGCAAAGCGTGAGAGCGCAAATTGCTCCACATGCTTGCTAACACTTGGTATTGTCAGTCTTTTTAATGTTAGCCATTGCCAAAAAGAAAAAGTGGAAACTCCAGGCTTTAAGAATGCAAATAAACTGAAGCACGTCAGTACATAAGCGTCTGCACACCATTCAAGACGCCATTTGGGAAGTCCAGTGAGAAACATTAAAATTCTATCCTAGGGCTCCGTGAATGAACTGGAGAGATTATTTCTCTCCTTACACAATCACGGCTAAATAACCCAAGAAAGATCATCTTATTTCTCCTGCTCCAGCATCTTTTTGGATTCCTCCAGAGGATATGCAATTCACTCCAAAAATAATAACTCTTATGATCACAGGCCTCAACCTCACAGATTTTAAATTCTGCCAGATACTGGGTTGGGGGGAGGTGGTGGTGAAATTCACACACACAAAAATCAGTAAGACACCAGATATATAAAACACCCATGCTTACATGCGTATGTTGGCAAGCTTTGAAAGCTGGGATATTCTTTCCTTAAAACAATTTAACTCCTTCTGTTTGAAAAATGGTTAAATACTATTTGCAGACATTGCCCTAATTTGAGCAAATTTTGCCCATTCCAAATAGAGAGTTGGTTTGCATCAGGCAAACCGCAAGAGCAGAAGAGCCTGGCCTCCCAGAAAGCTTGGCGGTTCACACTAATAGCAGGAAGGACGCTCTCCTTCCAGGGCTCTGCTTCCACTTTGCGGCTGCCTATGCTAGTCAAGCTACAAAGAGGTCATCTTTAGACTGAGTAGGAGAAAAGGAGCAACTCAAAATCCTGCGTAGTCTTTTAATGAGGCTGCCCTTCCCTCTGCCAGCAATGTTCGCGGCTCATACACCATCTCTTTTCAGAACCAGGGAGGTTCTACTTTTCTCATAGCTCTGGCTTCTTCCAGCCAGACCAAATTCTACTCGCACATCTTTCCCATCACTGCATTTTTTCCTTTTTAGTCTTTTCACAGTTAATAATCATATTTATTTTAATGACTAGTTGATTAATGTCTACTGCTCCTTCCATCAAACAAAGTAAGCTTCATGGGTTTTTCTCCTAATTGTATGCTCTGTGCCTAGAGTGCTCAGCACGTAAAAAGTACTTAATAAGTATCTGAGTAATTAATTACTTGTTGATTAAAACATTACCTTATCAGAGATGTGACCAATATGCCTCAAAGCTTCACATAAGTTAGAAGATAAAGAAGGCTGCTCCCTCCTCAATGAGAAGAAAAATCAAACTGCAAAAAACTTGGGGGTCAAAGTTGGCCTGGCCTTCTGCCCCAACTTCCATTAAACCATCTGCTTAAATGTTAGGTCTACTTTACCAACCTATCCTCTTGAAATTCAAATCCATGCAGAGGAGAAAGACTATCAGGACAAACTATTTTCCTCCATTAGAAGGGAATTCTGAAAAAGCAATTCTCATAGTTTCAAGCTTTAACCTAAAGTCTAAGTAATCGGCAAGGGAAATGCAGTTATTGGATGAGTCCAGGTCAGGATCTCCCACAGCAGGGGAAATGGCTCTGCTATTTCCCTGAGACAGGCAGGCAGAGTCCCTGTTTCACTCTTGCAGACTTCATGATCAGAAATAGGCTGACAGCAGCATATGCCTCACATGCAGATAGAACCGCAGTCTTTTCCAGTTAGAGGTACATACCAGGCAAAACTCTAGGGACTTCTAGACCATCCACCTTTTCTTTAACTACCCATCTTCAAGAAATCTCCATGAAAACACAGACCGAATAAAAATTAATAAAATGAGAATCACTATGGGTCCCTACTTAACTCATGTTTGGCTCAGCCCAAACATTTAATGTTAATGCATTCTATTCATTATTGGTGCAAGCAAAACTCTAGAATTGAAATTTAAGAATATCAAGATATTTTTAAGACCTGAATCTCATGAACAAAATACTAGGAAGGTAATCAGGAAAGGCTACTTCTTTCTTTCACTTAGTCATTAGATATTAACTGAGGCCCTATCATATGCCAAGCACTGCCCAGCGTGCTAAGGGAATGCAAATGTCTTCCAATTATAACCAAATTTTACTAATCTAAACCTTATTTGGAATTCAGAAAGAAAGACCAATATTTCAAGGTCAATTCTCTCACACTCATTTAAATAAAAGCTTTCTCGTTATGAACAAACAATGAATCATGGAACACTGCATCAAAAACTAATGATGTAATATATGGTGATTAACATAACAATAAAAAAATTTAAAAAAAAATAAATAAATAAAAGCTTTCTCCTAACCACTGAAAAGACATTCTTACCAAAAGGTTATGTTATCATTTTATTATAAACTAAAATACAGGGGCCCCTGGGTGACTCAGTCGGTTAAGCATCTGCCTTCAGCTCAGGTCATGATCCCAGGGTCCTGGGATTGAGTCCGGCATCGGGCTCCCTGCTCAGCGGGGAGTCTGCTTCTCCCTTTCCCTCTGCTGCTCCCCCTGCTTGTGTTCTCTCGCTTTTTCAAATAAATAAATAAAATCTTTAAAAAATATAAATAAAATAAACTAAGTTACAGTCTTACTATCTTTACATAGTCTTCTTTTCTTTAATCTTTACATATTCTTTCTGGAACAAACCTATCTATATACTGAAATGAATTCTGATAAATGATCAGAAGTTTATTTTTTTTAAAAAATCCAAAAATGGGTCCAAAAATAAAGTTTTATTCCCAAGCCACAAATGAAGGAAGTAAGAAAAGATGAATTAAGGTAAGCTTAATTCTTTCTTAATTTCTTTCATTGCCCAGTTAAGAGAACTATTATCAGATCTGTTACAAATGCCCCAGGTATTCAGATTAGCATCACCGCAACTCCATGGAAAACTTATCCAAATTTTATCTCAAAAACTTGGTATGAATCCACAGTAAATCCCACACATCTACAATCACAAGCAGAAAGACAAAAAATAATCCAACAAAATTCTAAGGTTAATAGAACAGATGCCTCTTCCTGACAAGGAATAGCTGTCAGGCAAAGCAATGATTTGGGAGCTGTGTCTACTTTCTCACATTCCATAGGTGTCGATATTTATCTTGGGACAAACTATTACTGATTACTGGCAACTGTTAAGAAAAAGAAAGCCAGTGAAACTCAGGTTTCTAGTAATGACAATTACCCAAAGACCAGGAATTATTCTAAGACAAAAAAATCCTAGAGGAGAACCCACTTTCCATCAATGTCTTCATGAAGGAAAGTCTGGACGAACAAATCTGTCTGTCAAACCCTTAGCAGAAACACTCAATGAACTGGAAAATACATTTAAAATTGAACTTCATTAACCTTTCCCATACAAACCAAACTCAAAAGTAGAGGTGCCACTAGTAAATAAGAATCGGGAGAAGACAACAGAGAATAGGAAACAGGAGTGGGAGAGCGGATGTGTACAAAAGCTGGGTCTATGACCCTATTGGACCCCTGAGAATTAAATGTTTTAAAAATGAAGCTGCTTTAATATTATCAATGTCTGGTTTTCATTACCTGACAGGCAGATATATGTTAAATATTCTCCTTGACCCCCGGTTGCCAAGAAAGGAATCTTTTTCTTTGTCCTCCTCTTGACTTGGACAGCTCCCAGCATCCTTTCATCAAGAGGTGCAAAAATTTCCTTGCTGATGGCAGACTTGGCACTCATTGTAGAATAACTGAGGAGGGCACACAGCGAGTTTTCTAAAGAAGAAAAGGAAAAGGCAAGTTGAATTGACAATATGGTCAATAGGCTCCTAACAGAGTAAGTGGCAAGATGATTTGCAGGTGAAGTAATTTTCAATTTGTTGTTTAAACTCGCTCCCTTGCTTGAAATGCACTGCAGAATCATTAAAAGCAAGGACTTCCCATTTGTATTAACTGTGAAAAATACAAACAAGAAGGGAATAATGATGTACTCACTGAAAATGTCAAATGCAACGAGAAATAAACAGCACGAAATGTTACCTAGAAAGTTCATCAATCTCTACCCCAGTTGCACCTAAAGGTAACTGGTGAGCAGTACCCACCCCCATTCCTATTCCGTAAGAAACATGGTTTCACATTCCCCGTTGATCAGTCTTTCCACTACCCAACAATCCTTAAAGTCACGAAGTTCTTTATGCTCCTTCAAAATCTCCTTTAACTTTAACATAAATCCATTTCCCTAATTCTATTCACAGTGGAAATAATTATATCATCTTCTACATAATAACCCTACATGCAAGAGAAGACCATTAATTTAATCACCCGTTAGCTGCTTTGGATCACGCTAAATAATTAATCCTTATTTATCAGCCTCTTTCAGTGGGTCCTATTTTCCAGAGCTCTTCTGCATATAGTTGCCATGCTCTGGACCCTTGACAAATTCTCCACATTTTTCTTTAGCCAGAGTGGACACAGAATTCTAAAAAAAATATCTGACTAATGCTAAGTATTTTGGAAATGTTACCCAGCAGTTCCCACATGTTATGCTCCTGTGGGTAACTGGCAATGTCTGCCCAATAATTAAGAAGATAAAGCAGTATGTTGCTGACTCACAATGAGTCCCTCCTCTCCCTGCTACCAAACTCACATATATACAGTCCCCACTTTATATTTAGTTTTCCAGAAGTTATACCTCCCTAATGGTCTTAATTCTGCTTATTTGTGTCTATTATATTCAAGATCAGTCTGAATTTTAACCCTTTCATCCAAAAACCTCAACAGCAACTCGAGTAAAACTTTTCTATTCCATCATCCTGATCACGGTCTGTGTCTTAATCGGTAACCAACATTTGTTTAACAAATCAGAACTAGAGGTGCAGACAGAGCCTGTGGGTTGGCCATGTGGGTCGTACCAAGTATTCAGAGAGCCTGCAAATGGATCAACAGCACAGCTAGATATGGAAACAGCAGCTCAAAGAGTTGGCCAGCCTGCTGTAAAATTGAGCCAATTGGCAAACACCTACTATGTGCCATTTCTAGGCTCAGTATTAGAGATATGAGAAATACTTAGGACGTGGTCCCTGTTCTCCAGGAGTTGACTGCTGACTACATCAAAGGTTTTGCTTTATGAGGGAAAACCTGGGATCATTTTTCCCAATGCAAGATTCACAAATGATATCAAGATAGCTATCTATCAGCAACTTTGTCGTAAGAAAGAGATGTATTTTAAAAGAGCATTCCTCTGGCTTAAAAAAAAAATTTTTTTTTCTCCTAGTTTCAATTGTAACAGAACAGGTTTTCTTAGTGGCACCAAGAATAAAGAATACAAAGTGTTGCTTTTTATTATATCCACCAATAACTCCACTACATATTATAGAATTCTATACCCAGATCTATTTGTGCTCTGATCATGACATTTTATCATTACTACCAGGTTCTTCATCCTGGCTGAGAACATTATGACAACAGTGTAGGGGGACTGGCTTTCAGTGTGCTGACAACTGATACCCTGCGATTTCCCAGAAGTTAGCAAAGAGAATTCCCCCCACCACGATTTACGTGGTGACTTTCCTAGGTAGGGTGTTATAATTTACAGGGACATTTTTAAAAAGAGAGAGAAACAAGGCCTCTCACTTCTCACCCTTTGGGGACATGTGAGAAAGAAAGCCAGCGGGAGGACAGCAGCTTCCAACATTCTATAAGCAACAGAGAAAACATGTCCTATCCCCAAACTCACCAGGCATTCTCTGACTGGTGCCTTTCCAACTGGGTATGGCTTTTGCTTTCCTATCCTGGATTCACATTTTTCTAAAATTATGGTTAAAAGAAATAAAAAGCTATCATTTGATTGTGATTGTGTAAAATTTGCCAGAAAAAAAAAGGAGCATGCATGTTTTACCAAATTCTTAGAAAATTCTGTTCTTCTTTAGAGAAACTGTTAAGAAACGGAAATGACCTTTTACTATTTTTGTTTTTAAGATTTACTTATTTATTTTAGAGAGAGAGTATGAGCACATGCATGTGTGTGACCGCATGGGGAGAGGGGCAGAGAGAGAAGGAGAGAGAATCTCAAGTAGATTCTGCAGTGAGAGTGGAGTCTGACATGGGGCTCAATCTCAGGTCCCTGAGATCACAACCTGAGCCAAAACCGAGAGTTGGATGCCTAACCGACTGTGCCACTCAGGTTCCCCCCACCCTTTTTAATATACTGGTATTTAGTAGCCAAGCACAATAACAAACAAGGCATGACAAAAAACAGGAAAGATAAAACCAGTAACTTCACTGAGCACAGGTTTTGGAATCAAAACAAACCCGGGTTCAAGTTGCAGCAACAATACCGAAGACCTACATATGACTGGGTAAATCTCTTAAAATTCCAGACCCTTAGTTTACTAACTGCAACTGGGAGAGATCTTCACCCACCTCATGGAACTACTGAAAGAATTAAATGGAACAGTATATGCAAATCTCTTATTCTGGTGCATGAATCATAATAAACTCTTAAAAATGGAAAATTTTAATTAATTCTCCTACTATAGTATGAAAAATAAAAGACCCTCTGAGCTTGTAGAAACTGAGTAAATGTAGCCACCCATACCAGAAGGGATTTGTCTAAAGAGAAACTCAACTTTACCAAAGCTTTTTCCTCATTCATGGTATGAAACTCTCTAAATATGGATACACAGTCTATTTTATGAAAGGCTCTGTATTGTTTTCAGGATGAGGAATTTATAGACTTCACCCTCAGGAAACTCACTAGTAGGAGATTACTAGATGCATTCTATGGGAAACTGTCAAGTTTTTGTCCAGAACAATGATATTAGCAGCCCTAAGTGATTGCATGCATGTGTGTATGTTTTTAATACCATCCTGGGAATGGGAATGTACAGTGGAATTTGTGTTTTAAACGATTCTCTAACTGGTTCTCATGCAGCCACCCTGACACCTAATTTAAAGCCAACACCCTAATGAGGAACTATGGGATGGAAAGGAATGTATTCTTCGGAAAAAATACAGGAAAGAGATGTACAGGATCTTCTCTTTTGATTCAATCAAGCAGATTTATCAGGTCTTACCTCTTGTTGGTAAATCAATGTTCAGCCCAAGGCTGGGACCCCACTATAAGAAAACAAGATGAATATGGCATCAGTGGTATGCCAATGACCACAGATACCCTAATCTACATTGTGCTGAAGGTAGCAGGACATGCCACCCCAAAATATGCCACTTCAGTATTTTGATTATTTTGAACTGAAGGCATTTGAAAAACAGCAAATGCGAGCAGAGGCTTTGTCTGAACTCCCCTCATCTGCCTGAAGATAGATCCTCTAAAAGGAACTCAGTAAGTCCCCAATCCAAGAGTTTCATCAACCAGAGAAGATGGACACTTGTCACAGGAGAGGAGACTAGAAGAGGATACCACACCCAGGACAGACTTTCTAACAAACTATCATATTCTCCATGTGTTCTTCTAAGGGTGCCCTCAATGTTTCCTAAAAATCATTTACTCTCCCCTAAGAGGCCTACATCCTGCTCCCCTTTCCCTATTGGGAGCGTATTTAATCCTGAATTCCAAGGATTTTCAGAGAGTTGCTCATTTTTCCCTGGGTATCTCCCATGCATCTATAAGGTATATGTGCTAATAAACTTCTCTTTTTCTCTTATTACTCTGTCTTTTATTATAGGGGTCTCAGCTAAGAACTCAGAAGGGTAGAAGGAAAATTAGTTTTCCTCCCCTACAACACCATGGAAGTTTTTTCTCTTCCTGGTCTACAGCTTCTATAGGCTATAATTACAAAGCTTTTCCATCCAAAAAACCAACCTACAGTATGATTTGCAAGTCAAAGCAGCTGGCTGCCTTAAGTGGTAATTGTAGAAACTAATCTCAGTTTAATCTTTCCCAGGGCTTTTCTATCTATCTTCTTGCTGTAAGCCACCTAATCCATATCCACTTTTGTTAGTACGTGGCTACTGTAGTGGGGGCCCTCCACCCTCACAAGTAACCAGGAAATGAGATTAACCTTCAGAGAAGGAGCTGTAAACTCCTATGACCTCAGGATTCAGCAGATGAAGTACGTAAGTAAAGGGTACAGATGGAAGATGTTCTGCACTCCAACACTAACATCTTTGGTTTCCAGGAGTGGAACAGACACTTGTCCTCTGTGGTCAGGAGATAAGAGTGCTAGGGACTCCAGCAAGTAAAAACTGCAGATGCCCTTAGTCACAGGCGCCCTTTGCAGCTATCATGCAGACTGGGGGTGTAGCCCACAGGCTTCAAATATTTCTCACCTGAGAAGCAAGAGCCCCTTCAGTGAAATACAGTCATCTATTTAGCTTAATATTATCAAGGCAAACTGATTCCTCTAACCTCAGGAATGTCCCTGTCTGGGCGCCATGTTTAGCATGCAATCTTCTGATCACATTTTTGGCACTGGATGTGCCGATACAAGTATTCTGGACTGGACAGCAGTTATGTTCCCATTGCCAATGAGTAACTGGAATCCCTGGTTTTAGACACACCTTCTTTAACCAGTGAATATGACTTGACCCTGAGGTGGATGCACTCAAAGCAAGCTGACATCACGTTTCAGGATTCTTCCAAGTTAAGAGTGAAAGTGATGTCAGCCTGGGAGACTCTGGGGAAGAATCAGCTGGTTTTCTCTAGTGCATAGGAACTCTGGTGAGGTGACCTCAAATAACTTAGAAATGAGAGAACTAAGGTTATCCTCTAAGGAGTTCTCTGCACTGCCACTTTGTGTTTGAAATGCTACACACCC